ATAAGCTTCTGATGATCAAACTCTTCAGTCTGTAGTTATGGTCAGACTGAAAATTAAGGAATATTCCCGCATATGAATTCTCTCCTCATTAATGTCTCTTTGGAGCGCATGACTTCAATATCCAGAAAGGGTAGTCGTTCATCTACCTCCACCTTCATTGTGAATTTAATTCTTTCAAGTTTGTTAATGAAATGAAAAAGATTTTCTTGAGTTACAAGACATGGCTAGGAGGGTTTATGATAAAAAGCTAATAAACTTTAGTATTAGGATCTGTTTAAGAGGCCTAAGGAAAAGATTATTAAGTATAGGTACAACGAATTTTGCAAAGCTAAGATAATTAAAGAAGTTGTTTGACCTTGTTTTTGCAACTTGGTCATATTGGTATGAAGACTTAGAGGAACGCACCTAGTCCGGAGTCCTTTGTACGCATGATAATTTCCAAAGTTAGACCGTGGACGTGGTACATTGCCAGACGTTTCGCCGGCATCGTCAGTGAGTCTTGCCATTCTTCGCACCATATTAAAACTAGTCAAAGAGACTTGTCTCGTTAGGAAAGAAATTATGATAAATACAATTTTTAAAAATTCTAATTCTACTGACTTGCCGGGATATAATTTTCTTGGTTTTAGTGTTTTGAGAAGAGAGATGACAAGAATTTAACACTATGTACAATGTATATACAAAGAAAAGTCGTGTTTCAAAGACTCTCTTGTGATAAGATTCGTGTGAAGACTTTCATTTTGTATGAAAGTACAGGATGAAGAAATTCGTATGTCAATCTCACCAGAAGACGTCAGCGGATTCGTGTTGTACTGCAGCCGTTTAGAATTAATACGGCGTTCAGGTTGATGCAGTCCACGAGGAATCCTTTAACGTTTCGAGCAAAGATGAACTGAGCTTTCGTTCGTCATGTTACGAATATCGTCTTTGAGGCTTTTGCAAGAATGAGTCCCAGATCTGACGACGTACGTCACATGGCGAAAGAAAGCTCAGCTCGTCTTTACCCGAAACGCTGTAGGATGTCTCGTGGACTGCATCAGCCTAAACGTCGTATTAATGCCAAATGGCTACAATACAACGCGAACTAGCCATACCAAATGAAAGTCTTCACATCAATGTTTTGATAATTTATATAGACTCCCTAATCTTACGCCTTGATTTGAATTCACCGGAACCCGTAAAACGTAATTAAGACCAGTCTATTGAGTGTCCTGTATTAGCTGTGTTCGGTGAGCTCAGATTTTTGAACCCATAAGCCTTTGAAAGCGGATTTTAGTTCACAAAGCCTCTTCTGGATGGGTCGTCAGATCCCCGCCACATAAATCTTACCACATGAACACAAAACCTTGTAGCAGCCTGATCTCTTTATACATTGTTTTTATCTTCCTCTTCCTCAGTAGATCATCCAACTTTTCCACAAGCTGACAAGAAGACAACATCATGGACCGAGTGGAATAGCTCACTTGTTTATCCCACCCAAGGTAGCAAGCTACCCTTATCTTTTTAGTGACAATTGATATTTAATTGTAGAGCTTACTTCCATTTCGAGTGAAGGTGTTTGGTGAAGACATTCGAAGGTCGATTCCACTAGAAGACGACGGCGGATTCCTCTTGACCAGCTGTAGATTGTATCAGGTGGTTTGGCTAATACTAGACTCAAAGAAAGTATAGACAAATTACATGCCCTGATTAGAACAAAAACAAGGACTAGACAATCCCTTTCTCTGCTATTTTCTTAAATTGGAGAAAATAGCGGACGGTTTGGCGTAGGGTGGATAAGATCCATAGATCCTGACACGATAAGAAATCAAGCGATAATTTAGGCATTAACCTCAGTTAAACGAATCGTCGAAACAATAAGGAGGTAGTTAAACTTAGTACTATTTTTTCTAGCAAAAATAAAGTCATTAATTTATCCAGTACACATATAGCTGCTGATGTTACGCTAGACTTGGAAAGGGGTCTAAACTTTGCCATCCCAAATGAGGAAATTCATTCTATGGAGATACTGGTTAAATTAATTAACTTAACGGACAAGCTGCCAGAAGAGGCTAAGAATTGTATAGAAAGATAAGTGATTGATTATTTTGATGAGGTAATTATTCCAAAGAAATATTATGACTTAAAAAGAGTTTCTAGATATTTACGCCAAAATGATCTGTTTGTCTTAAAGGCAGATAAAGGGGGTGTAGTGGTCATCATGGATAGGTTAAGTTATATAGAAAAAATGATGATTCATTCAAATCACTCAGAAACTTACAGACTTTTAGTGAAGGATCCCACAGAGAGTCTTAAGGCCAGGCTTAGGGAATCGCTTAACATTTGTGTAAACAGAGGATAAATTGAGAAGTAGAATTTTAATTCAGTTCTTCAGAGGGATGCAAGGACACCTTCGGCTTAAGGCCTTCCAAAAATACACAAGGAAGGAGTTCCTTTAAGATTGATTTTTAATAACAAGGGTATTATGATGCATATGATTTCACGTTGCTTATGTAGACAGCTAATGAAATTGGCTGAGTATTGTAAATATTCAGTGAAGAATTCATATGAATTTGCTATATTAATAGATTAACAGAATATTAAAGAGGATCTTTTGGTTAGTCTTGAAGTGGTATCAATGTAGACTAACATCCCAATTCATAAAGCTATTGAAACACTTACGCTTAGTCTGGATGAACACCTAAAAATTATTGGGGAGGCAAATTTGAGCATAAGCTCAATGTTAAGGCTCCTTAATCTATTCATGAGCAGCATATTCTTCATCTTTAATGATAAAGTTAATGAACAGGTGCAAGGTCTAGCAATAGGATCTTGAATATGAGATGTATTCGAGAGAAGAATCTAATGTATGCTTCCCTATCACTCTACTCTTCAAACGTTATGAAAGGTACGCTAACACCGTGCTATCCGAAAATTCATCGTATTCCAGTTTTCTTTCCTATGAGCTAATCTGTTTTCTTGACTTGAGGGTAACTTGGAGTTGTTATGAAAATGAGGTACAGCTATGATGATGT